ATGTTGTATTCAGTGTGTTGATGACTTGATATGCAGGAGGATATTGATTATCTAGAGAAGATATTGTCTTGAGATAGTGTCTTACTACTTCTTACCGGCCAATGGAAATGGAACCTTTTCATCTGGCACCCCAATTTGTAGGCTTTGCTTGTGTCAACCTGGATAATGAATATTATGATGATAGTCACAGCGACAGAGTTCGAGAGGTGGAGAAAGAACCATTTTGGGTGCTATTCCTACTGTTAGTGTCTGGGGGAGGAATTTTGGTAGGGAGGCGCTTTTGGAGGAGTGAGATGGTGGCACCTTATATCCCACCTCTCCAGTCTCCACTCCCTTAAGTATTTTACCCACGTTAAGGATGATAACCACGAACACATTTCTCTTGAAAAATTCTTTTACTGGTCCTCCTCTTGACTGACTACAACAGCACTTGCCTCGAAACTTGATCTTTATTTTGTTTATTGATCCTTTTTCAGGATTGTGTGTATTGAATGCGGCTGATTATTTTGGATTCGATCTGGATTTGAGTAGCCATCACCAAAGGAAGTTCTTATGGGTGAGTTTGATGACCATGTTGCTATTATTGGGGATTGGATGCCTCCTAGCCCAAGTCCACGAGCTCTATTTTCGACGTTGTTGGGTGATGATGTTAGTTTAAGGATGGTTGCTGAACCCACCAGTGAAAATAAAGCTGGATTCTCTTTTCCAGGGCCTGTAGAGCACAGTGCATCTGCTAGTTCTGATCAAAAGGATGGATCACAAGGTGGTGCTGCTGTTGATCAAACAGGTAAGTTTAGTTCAATGTCTGAGCAAAGGATGAGCTCTCGCGGGGGTCTTATGGAAAGGATGGCAGCTAGAGCTGGATTTAATGCCCCAAGGTTGAATACGGAAAGCATCAGACCTCCTGACCTATCACAGAACCTGGAGGTCCGGTCACCTTACTTAACAATTCCTCCTGGTCTCAGCCCAACAACCTTGCTAGACTCTCCTGTCTTTTTAACTAACTCTCTGGTAAGCCCAAAATTTAGATTCTTTCTAGTTGAACTATATGATTTTTTTTATACCATAAACAAGCACTGTACATCCACTCGTATGAACGTTATGAAAAAAGTGTTTTTAAATTGACTAAAAGATGGAAGGGGCGGAAAGTGCTAGATATGTGTATATTTTTGTGTTCAGAGGCTTATCCTTTTGGGCCAACTTCTATATTCAGTAAACAAAATAGCAAGATTGATGAGGTGGTGTCTTGCCTTATGATAGTTTGTGTTTCCATGGACTATAGCATTTCGTCCTGCAATTTTATACCGATGACAATTGTGCAACTTGTTAATCAGATGTATATAACATGAAGTAATTTATCAAGCTGAAAATGGAGCAAAAGGCAACAGTTTGAAAAAATTCTGATGTCTAATATCTTCCTATTAATATCTCGGGACTCAAGGCAGTTGGTAGGACAGTCTCCTGAGCTTCGTAGCTGCCTCTGAAGCCGGATTTGAAGTTACTGAAAATTTAAACTATTATCTTCCATTATGGATATCCTTTGGGAATTAGTTGCTTTAACATTTTTGCAATTATATCTTTGTCTTCGTTTATCATTCAATGATTGTATGGTATTTTTGTCATCAAGTGAACCAGGCAATTATCTGGTATCTATTTTCTCAATACCAAACACAGATGCTATACGAGTCAACTTGCTGTCATGGAAAGTGTTTGGATTTTCATCCTTCAAGTGTTTCTGTCGCTTCTTTTATGGCAGCTAAATTTAGTTTGGCACTACAATGTTCTGAGCTGTCAAGCAGGACGTTCTTACTTTTTTTGTTCCTTTCAGTATACCTTGACTTTTCATGCTGCAGGTTCAGCCATCTCCAACTACTGGAAAGCTTGGATTTCTCATGAGCGGCAGCAGCCGAAACGCAACAGTGACCGAGTTTCCTGATAAGAGCAAAGAGAACTGTTTTCAGAATGTGAACACTTCATCCTTTGCATTTAGGCCCATTCTGGAGTCTGGTCCCCCTCTTTTCTTTGGTGCATCCAACAGGGTACTCTCTCTCTCCTCCTGCCCCTCCCCTGCAATGCCAAAAAAAAAAAAAATCTTTTGTAGAGGAGAACGTAAGATTTAATACTGCCTATATCCTTCTTGGAACACAAACATGTAAACATGTCAAGTGGGCCTGTACTGATTTAGCAATTTGGTATGGAAATGATCCACAATTTATGAAGCAAAATAATGTGTAATGTTTGCACATTGCCAGTTTTTTGTTTCTTTTCTAATTTTGATATGGCGGAGTAAAATTTTAATGTTTCTTGTACTTTTCCAAAATTTTAATTAAGCAAGAAGCAGTACATTTCATTCAGGTTTTAAAATTTTTGTTCATTTCCATACGTAGATAACCTCAACCAATCTTCCTCAGCAACCTTTCCCGAGCATTGAGGTTTCAGTACAGTCAGGAAACACACTTCCACCTCGAAGTGTCGAACATGCTAAATCTGCCGCATTGAATCAGCCAGCTGATTTTTCTAGACCATCTGCTGCAAAGGATACTGTACACAATGATATCTTGTCAGAACCAAGTTCCTTCCAAAATGTAGGTGGTGGTTCAGAGCATTCTCCACCTCTTGATGAGCAGCAAGAAGATGATGCAGATCAAAGGGGAGGTGGAGATCAAAATATTAGTGGTGCCCCAGCTGAAGATGGTTATAATTGGAGAAAATATGGCCAGAAACAAGTAAAAGGAAGTGAATATCCACGGAGTTATTACAAGTGCACGCATCCAAACTGCCCGGTCAAGAAAAAAGTGGAAAGATCACAAGAGGGTCACATTACAGAGATCATCTACAAGGGGGCACATAACCATCCAAAACCTCCGCCCAACCGCAGATCTGCTCTTGGATCCTCCAACACACTTAGTGACTTGCTGGTAGAGAATAGTGAGCAAGTTGCAATGGGTGCCGATGGCAATCCTGGATGGACAACCATGCAAAAAGGAAATTTTGACTGGAGGCATGACAATCTTGAGGAGACATCATCTGCCGCATTGGGTCCAGAATATGGCAACGGAACTACCTCTTTACAGGCTCAGAATGGCAGCCAACTTGAATCAGGAGATGGAGTAGATGGATCTTCTACTTTTTCAAATGATGAAGATGATGAGGACCGTGGGACACATGGCAGTGTTTCATTAGGCTATGATGAAGGAGATGAGTCAGAGTCCAAAAGAAGGTTCTTTCATTTTCCTCTGTCTTACTAATTAAATGACGAGCCTGAGTTTATACTAGATTTCTATTGCAAGATTCAATGACATTCTTATGTCTATGAAACCTATCAAAGGCTGCATACAATGAACTTGTTACTATTTTAGGAAAATTGAGAGTTATGCAACTGACATGAGTGGGGCCACCAGAGCCATCAGGGAGCCTAGGGTGGTTGTCCAAACCACCAGTGAGGTGGATATCCTCGACGATGGGTACCGCTGGCGCAAGTATGGGCAAAAAGTTGTGAAAGGAAACCCTAATCCAAGGTTCACTTTGTTCTTCTTAGCTGTAGATTAATATAGGAGCAGACAGAGTGGTAATTATACTGCAGTGCTGACCCCAGAAGTGGTGGTATGTCATTTTTTTTAATGCAGGAGTTACTACAAATGCACGAGTGCAGGATGCACAGTCAGGAAACATGTGGAGAGGGCCTCACACGACCTGAAATCAGTTATAACTACGTATGAAGGGAAGCACAATCATGACGTTCCTGCAGCTCGAAACAGCAGTCATGTTAATTCTGGGATTTCCGGCACCCTTCCTGCCCAAGCTGGTGCTGCTGTTCAAAGTCATGTGCACAGGCCTGAGCCCTCACAACTTCATAACTGCATAGCACAATTTGAAAGGCCTCCTCTTGGTTCATTTGCCTTGCCTGGGAGGCCCCCTCTAGGGCCTACTCATGGCTTTGGTTTTGGAATGAACCAACAGGGATTACCCAATATGACATTGGCTGGATTGGGTCCTCCTAATCAAGGCAAAATACCTGCTCTCCCAGTTCATCCGTATCTAGGGCAGCCACGTCCAATGAATGAAATGGGTCGTATGCTTCCCAAAGGAGAACCTAAGATGGAGCCTATGTCAGATCCTGGATTGAACCTCTCCAATGGCTCATCGGTTTATCACATGAGTAGGTTGCCCCTCGGACCATAGATGTACATGTTAACGAGTTTTTTTGCTTACCTTCAGGAGAAAGGAAGTAGAAATATTGACCTTACAAGAAGTAACTTATGGGGAGTTCTTTTTTTTTTTTTTTTTTTTTTTCTGGTATATCATATAGCGCCGCGTCCTATGTTCATTCTTTTCAATGTGGAAACTATGTATATCTCAGCATTACAGTAAATTTGTTGGATTTATCACACCATCTAGTATAAAGTTAATACTCACTCAGAAACTCTTCGCAGCCTACGCTGGTGCCCCGCTAATAAATCATACTGTTTTTACCCTCAAGGGTGATCAGCACCTTATGATGGAATTCTCTCAAATTTCAATAATGATTTTTTATGTTTTGCGAAAGTCATTTTAACTGCTGGGTTCAAAGTCGAAGTATATTTTAGAACGTCCACAGCAAAGCAAAGTCTTGATGAACTGAAAGACTCCGTGTAAGAGCCACCTTTGGTAGCTGCTACCAGCAACAGCGAGGGGCTGTCTACATGAACGTCTCCTTCCGTGTTATGAAAACAAAACGCATTATCACATCGTTGCGCATATGTTAGGCCTGAGAGCAGTTACGTCAACAGCTTAGGATTAGGGTATCAACACGTGAAACTTTCAACTTCCCCCGAAAATTAATTTCGTGGTTTTTTCAGTATATTTATTATCGAACCAGTATCTGGTGGACTCTACAAAACTAGTGGAAGGAGTCCAAGGGCAAGGATCCTCCCAAGAATCTTGTGCCAATATCCTGCGACGGAACGTAATTCCCAGCCTGACTAATGGGCAGTTTCGGAAACTCATTTCACCAGTCGGCGGAAAATGAAGCAGCCCAACTCCATTTCCTTTTTCGGAAAAACGATGTAGCAGTATAATTTGCATCAGAATCTTTTTATATGCCTTCCTGTCTTCCAAACAGTGACGATCAACTTGTATTTTATGCTTTTAATTCGTAATACAATTACATTTCTGGACACATCCATTAAAGGACAACCAGACTCAATTGTCCCGAGATGAAGCCGTCTGAAGCCAAAACTCAAAAAGAAAATAGGCTCCTGTATCTTGAGTTGCACCTGGGCATTTGGCGGAACAAGCTCTAACAGCCATCAGGACCATGTCATCAATAGTTGGCCATTTCCAATCACTGATTGTTTTCTAGTCTCTGCTGACCAACTGATCTCCGCCGATCTATCTCATCTCTATGAAAGCCCAAGAAATCAAAATACAACGTAAGAAAAAACACAAGCAATGGTGAAGTTTAAACATTCTTGTAGACATTTGGAAAGAGAAAAATTGGAAAAATCCCACCCTATAACCCATTAAAGAGGAAGAAGCAGCAGTAAGAAACCATTAAATCGCAATTTAACCACTCTAGGATAGACTTAAATCACCAATTAAAAGAAAGATTGGCATAGCTCGTTAGTATTTCAACCTTTCCAACTTGATTTTAAGTCAGAGCTGTTTAAGAACAAATAAAAAAAGAAAAATGTCTGCCCCACATGATCCTATTGACTAATAATGTGAATGCAAGCCGAGGAGAGATGTCACAATTTTGTAAACACAACAAAAAAGAACAAAATGTTTTGACTCCCATTTTGACGTAATGAGATGTTTCTCTGGTAAGTATTATGCAAGACTAGAACAAAAGGTAAAACCAAGCCAAAAAAGTGTTGCTATAATAAAATAAACTTGCACCTGAGAGCATTTTGGATTGAATCGTACAAAAGAACAGCAAGAACTCTCCGCTTTCTTTCTTTCTGGAAGTCTGATCCACGTTTGACCACAGGCAGTTGCTTAATTCCCTTGGCCTCCATTAGCTGCTTTGCTATTGACAGGTCAGTATCTGGATAACAGGTTAGAAGTCCACAATGCCTTCCACGGTAGCTTATTCCTCGGGTGCATATAGAAGAAACTGAACATGTATTCACCTGCCAAAAAAATCAATCATGACACTGTAACACACACATACAGAGAGACACACAGGACGGGGCAGGTTGGTCATCATCTCCTACAAGCAGAAAACTAACTGAGAAAAGGACAGACTGACATTTCATACAGGCACACACATACACATGCACGCACCAAATAATTGTTTCACAGTACCAATTCACTTCACATACATCTTGAAGTGATGAATTACTGTTGGAAGCATCACCAGAATTCTTGAAGAGAAACCGCTTAATGTCACCGTAAGTTAAAATTCCTTCCAAATAATTTTCAGCATCAACAATAAGGACACAATTCTGCTGACCATCGTACATACATTTCAAAGCTTCTTTAATAGTTTGGTTCGGAGGGACCTTCGGAAAGTCATTTGACATAGCCTGAGATACCTGATTGCAGCAAGAAATGCATTTGGTGACATTTAGCACAATTGGTAGATGCTTTGAGAAAGCTTTGCTTCAAGCAAAATCAGATAAACAAAGATACAAAACATGAAAAATCTGGTTCTTCTCAAGTTTAAAAAAAAAAAATACACCTTCAGATCCTCCAGAAGAAATTCACCATCCATTCCAGCACAATTACTGGGATTTCCAACAACAGAAAGTTCCATTTCTTTTCCTTCGTCAGTTTGCCCCCAACTTCCTTCCTCATTTTTGTCTTCATTAGGTGAGATAACTGAATAATTTCTTGCCGAAGACTTTGAATCTGATAGCTCTGTGTCTTTAGATTCATTTGTCACAGAGGGCACCCATATAGCCAATCCAACGGCCCCCTAAATAGATGAATTTAACTACTAGATGAGAAAGCAAGCAATGATGACAAAATCAAATCACATTACAAGGCACTAATTACTCCAGTGGCAAGGATTAGCATTAGTCATCAACCAGAAAAACACGCATTACCATCACAAACTTATCCACTTTGAAGCAACAAAACAGAGTTCGGGAATAATTGCCACTTTGTCACGTTTTATCTTCATAAAAGGTAGAGGAATTGATTCTGAGATTCCAGAACAAAAAGAACACATCCAGAAGACTTTGTTGTTGATCTAGAACACTAATATTGTATACCAACTTCCCAACTTACTTTTTTTGTCACATTCACGAGTAGAAGGTGCACATCACAAGTGCCATCAGAATCCTACATTGGTTATCTTAAAATGTCATAGGAGAACCACAATAGTGAAAATCCGGATTTATGCAAGCATTGTCATGTGGGATGAACAAAAACTCAGTTCTGTCGCTCTTAATGAAGGAACTTTGAGCATGTTATTCACACAATTCTAGTGTTTGAGGGCCATAACTATCAAGAAGTTGGAAAATATGAAAAATTATCTGAAGGCTACAGAACTGGAATAAAGCACGACCTAATTTTCATTTTTCATTTCTTGGAGTTTAAACTCCAATATTAGCTTCTAAACTAAGGGTTACAAACTCCCAGAAATTTCAGAAAGTTAGATCGTGAACAAAAAAGTAGGAACTATAAGACAAGTAGACTGCATGAAGAAACTGGATCCAGGCTTATTTCTTAAAGCACACATTGAAAGAATTTCCATTGCGACTTGCAAACTACTAAGACTTACCATGAGAGGAAGCAATATTCGGTAATCTTTTGTCAATTCAAACAGTAGAAGAATTGAAGTCAAAGGCACTGAACAAACTGAAGCTAGTGTAGCAGCCATTCCAACCTACATTATTATGAATCATGCAAATGATTAAATAAGCAATGAACTGTCAAATTTCACAGAAAAAAATGGTCATATCTTAAATTAGTGTGTGGCAATAATAGCAAAATATACCAATGCATATGCCTGTGACTGGGCAATAGCAGCATTTCCTGGCATAGCTGAATTGATTAGCTCCCCAGCAGAACCTCCAAAAACAGCACCCACAGCTGCACCGATCATTAAGCTTGGCGCATACAAGCCACCAACAAGGTGAGAACCTTTACAAAGAGCAGTTGCCACAACTTTTGCAGCAGATAATTGTGCTAAAAGCCAAATACCAGGTGCTGAAGCAGTCTTCCCAGTATGCAGAATTTCATCAACATTAGTGAAACCCCAATAAAGTATTCCAGGGTATCTAAGAGCTATAATCCCAGCTCCCAAACCTCCAATAGCAGGGCAAACGACATCAGGGATTCCAAATCTATCTTTCATGAACTGAAATGCTTTAGTGAACCAAGCAACCAAGTAAGTGAGAGCCACACTTACTACTCCACAAAGCATTCCCAATATAAGGTATAATGGTAGCTCTGCAGAGGAAAAGTTTACACATTTTAAGGTTCAGAGACACTTAGCACTCAGACAAAATGACAGCAATAAGCTACATGAAACAAAAAACACAGTCACTCCTTTAAACCACCACTGTCAATACTTTTCTTGGAGGTGGTTAGAATGTGGATTACACTTTAACAGAGGCAAGAATCAATAATGGAGTAAAAAGAACATACTTCAAGATATATCAGGCTAGGAAACCCTTATCCCAGTGCATCTTATCTACTTATAACAACTTAAACTAGAATTAGATCAAATACCAGCAGCAGATTTCAATTCATACGTGGGCACTGTGAAAGCTTGTTTCTCTCCAAGAACAGCATTTGATACCGTGGATGAGATAACAGACGCCAAGATTATCATTGCAGTTGTAAATGGAGGAGAATTTTCTGCACGAAGAGGCCTTAAAACAGTTTCAATAGCAAAGAAACAGCCTGCAACTGGTGCATTGAAACCTACAGGACAAGAAAGGGAAAAAAAATGATCTCATCACTGGAGGGAGAACTGAGGAAGAGGTTTTAATCATCAACAATCATGTCAATAGGCAGTACGCCATTTTTAATATTTTAATACCTAGTCTTTTGTGGCAATCAGAATTAACCTGTGAATTTGGAGGGAAGAAAGGAAAAAAGTAACGTAATCAAATAGAAGATTTCCCTAATCCAGCAACCCACCCCCTGCAACACTCAAGGAACAGCATTACTCTCTCTTCAAACGAACTGAAATCGTAGACATCCTCTATCTCTAGTCAAATTTTACTGCCCAAGCACCAGTCAAATTGTCATTGGTTCCACGAACTATTGGTTCCCCACAACGAAAAACATTGCAGTACCCCACCTGGCTAGCATACAGCATCTCCTACTAAACTCAACCTCAAACCTTTGCCACAGTGGTATATTAACTCACAACTGATCCGTTAGACATCCATAAACCAAAGTAAAAATGTGACGAGAAATCATGAAGTTAATTGGTACCTATTCAAAAAATTAGCTATTTGCCCAGCCTGATTTAGTTATTTGTGCATGTAGGACTGACCTAAGAGAGATTGAGAATCAATAAACCATATTGATGCATCCAGTGTTAATAACCATTAGACAAACAAAGAACTGGAAGATACAACCTTTTTTTTTCTCCTAAAAAAGCATAGATAGTAAGTGTGCCATAATTCTCATAAAACACATAGAAGGCATAATATTCTAGAGAAGAGAGATTCTCCAAATATCTTGCAATGAAGGCAAAATATCAGAGCAACAGAGACAGCATACCTGAAGAGATTCCAGCGGCAGCACCAGCAGCTACAAGAGCTATTCTCCTTTCCTTGTTGTTCTCCATCATTACTGAGCAACCATAAGCACATGATTTTCCAATATCTACGCTGGGGCCTTCAGGACCTAAAGAACACCCAGTGCCCAAAGTTATGGCTGCTTGGAGGGCTTTTACTGTCGGGAATATTCCAGCAAGAACATCAAATCCCTGTCCCTGAGAAGTGGACTGCTGTATTTGACCCAATATGTCAAGTAAACCATGCAGCATGCCAACAATTACTCCACCCAAGACCGGTATCAATAGTATTCGATGCCAAGTATCAGCTAGCCTCTGTAAACGTAGCCATGCAGCACCCTCATTAGGAGTGCCAGCCCATGCCCACTCATGAATCACATGCACCTACACAATGTCCCCCAATATCACCATCATAGAAGCAACACAACACAATATCCTTAGATGGAAGCATTGGACCTTTGAAATGAAATCAAGCAAGCATTGGCAAACTGCAACTCAAAATCAGGTAAGAAAATAGCATTGGATAAAAGAGAAAAGTACATTGCAAGGTTACATCATAACTTTGGCAGCCTGCTCGTCCACATGCATACATAAAACAACCAGGTAGGATATGAGTACAAATTAAGTTTTGACTAATTGTCAGGATTATAAACACGACATAAAACAGATATATTTTACAAATCGCACCTAATTTTCATTACATAAAGGTTGAGCATATGCAGCAACTTAACATAGACAGAGACCTTATTTCCAAATTCATATCAAATTCAGCTCAACAACACTACTTCTTCATTCCACATTATTGAAAAGAAACATCAGATCCAGATCAAACCAAAACATCCAATTTTGCGTAACAAATTCAACAATTCACAAAATTTTGCTTATGTGGAACAATTTTGTTTAAGGAGAAGATTTTTCCAACTAACCCCACGGTTAAAGGCGGCAACACAAAGACCAGTAGCTAAACCAAGAAGGCATCCAATAAGCAGCAACGCCCACTCAGGCGGAGCGAAATCGCCTAGCATTTCCTCATCACCGGCATCACCACTTACACCGGGATCCGAATGCGAATGAGAGTGAACCGAATTCTGCTGTAGCTGGTGGTGGCGGTTACCGTCGAAAGACCGCCGATTAAAACTAATAAATCTGCAATTAGAAAAGCCTCCATCCAAACGCTTTAATAGATCTTTAATGCCTTTGTTACCGCTCCGGGGAGTTGGCTGAGCTTCTAAATCGTCTTCCGAAGCCGAGGAATTGGAGCGCAATAGTACGTTGCGGTCGCCGTACTCGCTTCCCGACATATTCCACTCCTCGCCGATTCACTTCTTACATCGCCATTCATATATTTTGAATACTACAATTTATGCTGCTATGCTGCTCCGTATTATTATTAGTATTAAACTAATTAACTGGAATTAAAGACGAATCTTGTTTAGTGGATTGAAGAAATGCAGAGGAGGCTTTGAGATAGGAGTAATTAATTGAAGTCATTTATTTTCTCTCGTTTCGGGACTTGTATTTTTTTCATTCTTTTCAGTTTTTCTTTTTGTTGACTTTGAAGTTACTTATTAGTTTCGATATTGAACAATTTCTATTCTTTCTTTTTCCCTTTTTTTTTTGGGTCAGACTGGGATTATTAGGGATGGGCAAGAATTTATGATTAGAGGCGTGCATCCTGAAGAGAGTTGAAAAATTTTAACGTGATAGTAAAAAAAAAAAAAAAAGAAGATTAAGAGCGGATTTGGATCGGAGGAAAATTAAAAGCTCGTTTGGACTGGAGTTTTCAAAGTTTTTATGGAAAAAAAAATATTTTAATGATGTGATGTAAGCAAAATGATTGAAAAATACGTCACATAAATGTTTTTAAATTTTTTCTTAAAAAACTTGCAATTTAAACAAGCCAACCTCTCAAAATTAATTTGCCATGATGTTTGATTTGGCTTGAGAAATGTAAATTTGATATGTGTATGTGTTGTCAAAAAAATTAATGTGTATCGCATTTAGTTTGATATTTTATTTAAGTTAATCGAGAAATGTATTTAAAAATTTTTAAATACGTGTCCTTATGATTTGGTGAGCAATCTTTTATTGAAATGAGTTTTTTTTAATTATTGAAATTAGTTGGCCAACTAGAATAAGACAAATTATGTTTGGGTTTCAGATTTGAGATGGTCAGGTTTTCTTTTCATTTTTGTTTTTTTGGATTTTAAAACGGGGGATAAGGAAAAATTGACGGTTAAAATGACAAAAGCCAACGACAGAGGGCAGGATGACAGCTAACCGGCAATGTGCAAAACTGGGATACTGTAAATTTCAGTATACTTGCATTCCTTGGAGTAAAACCAAAAGGAGAAGTATAGAAGTAGGTATATAGTATAATTTTTTCCTGGTATAAGGCGAAAACTTATATACTTTATCTCATCATAATAATTCTTAAAATTTTAGCACTAGTGTTGCAAAATTGGAGTTTTTAGATGTGTGAAAACCATGAGGTGCGTAGCCAAAAAATAACAATAATTGCAAAACATCATCACTTTTAGTGCAAAATATAGGGAACCATATAAAAGAACAAAAATAACAAAACACAACTATCATTAATTGTTGTATGAGTACCCATAAAATATTTTTATTTATTTGCATTAAATTTTCACTAATATTATAATATTGTATGCTTATGCAATAAATAATATAAGAAATACAACAATTTTATGGAACCACACCCCTAATTATCCAATCTCAAATCAGAAATAAGGTCTCTTTAGTTCCAATTTTGTCTAATTATATAAATGGACCTAACATTCTGTACACACACGAACAACTCAGATATAAATATAAATTTTATTCAAAATTGATGCAAAACTTAAGATTACGTCAAGATCGTATTAGTAGACACTAAAATTATATTAGTTTATACAATTGGACGATGTTTATATAGAGAGGCCTTTATCCTCCTAAAAAAGTAAAGCCAAAAATGAACAAAAAAGAAAAAAAAAGAAAGGGAAGAAAGGTAAGTACAATGATAAAGAAAAATCAAATTTATTTTTAAAAATAAGCACCCAATACACTTGCCATAGGCGTAGTATAGGAGACAATTATTATATATCTCCACCTAAAAAAAAAATCCCCACATGATCGAATCACGCTTTTTCGAAACTTTATATATATTTATATTATCTTCTCTAATCTCTATATTCCACGCAAATTTAAAATTACAAGCGTCTCTGGCACAGTTGACCTAATCAAAATTTCTGGCCCAGGACAACCGGGCGTGGCGAATTCACTGAGATTGAACTGTACAAAAAAAATTCCCCAATATATATACGCACGCATACATGTCTGGTTTTTGTTTTCTGCATCTTTGTCATATTATTGATCGATTGATTGTGTTGAAATGTTTGTGATGATAAAGGTCGGATTGAAATGAGATTTGGGGATGTGAACTCAGGATCTGACAAACCCTAAATATTCATCCTCAGCTTTGGAAACTCAACTTACAAAGAAAACAACCAACTTTTCCCAACCATTTGCTTCACTCAAAGAGGTAACAACCATCGCCACCGATGCTGCTACTGCGTTAACTCTTGTTGATTCCCCAGTCTACCAGATCTGTTCAGCTCGAACTTGATTCTTTGACTCTCTGATCTTGATCTTCAAGTTTGACTTCAGGGGACTGTTAAAGATTCAATCTTTACCATTTTTACTTAATTGACTGAGTCATGCGATAAATTAGAGTATTGTTCAAGACTTAGTTATAGCGTAATTCTTCAGAAAGCGTTTTTCTTTCCACCCTTCTGGCAGGGGGACATTTGTGACTAGAAGTTGATATTGATTTATTTACTTTATCCTTTGAAGGTAGTTGCTGGACTGATTAACTGGTCTTACTTTGGACGAGTAGACAGATATTTGCGGACAATTGAGTCCAAATATGCATGCAAGGAATCGTAGTCCGGGAAATGGATACAGGGCTAACGCAGTGGTGATGGGTGGGGTGGCCACTACGTCCAGGATTTCGCCTGAGAGTTCAATGAGAGGTCATGGAGGTTACAATTCTGAGTATAGGGGATATATTCGGGGTGGGTTTGGACGCGGGCAGTCGAGACAGTCGCACCGGTCACAGCCTCCTCCTCCTCCTCCTCCGCCACAAAAGGGTGGTGGTGACATTTTTATGGAAGCTGGTAGGTTAGCCGCTGAGTACCTAGTTTCGAAGGGATTACTGCCAGCCCATGTACTGTCCGGGAAATCGCAAAATGGTAGTTTGAAGAACCAGGTTTGGGCGCAAGAGGGAGATGCTGAGCAGCTTTCTTTGGAGGGTCGCACGTCGGCTCTCTCACGTTTGGGAGGCCCTGGTCCTGACTCGGGGCCTGGTCGGAGACGATATATGGAGGAGTACAACTCAAAAAACATTCTGAGAGGAAGGAGAAGAAATGGATCCTTCAAAAACTATGGCTCTGACTGGAGCCGAGATGTTGGAAGAAGCGGATCATGGTCTGAGAGGTCTAGGGCTTCTGTGGATGGGGAGGATGACTGTGATGTCCTCTCAAGACATCGGGAAGAGCAGCAGATCAGTAATGACGATGACAGTGTGTCACAGAATTCCATTCCCGTACTAGCCCCAGAAAATGATGTTGCTGGCGCCAAAGAAAGTAACAGTGTTGGTAATACGCAGTCTGCCTCAGAAAAATACGAGCCAAGAGATGATGCAAAAGCAAGTGCTGTTACCAGCACAAAAGATCTCCCATTGAAGACCAGTGAGGAACCTATAGAGAAGGACGACACAAAAGTATCTAATGCAGAGGCAGAAGACGTTAAGGATGATCAAATGGGGCTACAAAACGCTAAGGACGACATGGCAATTGTGGCTTCTTTGGGGGAGGGGGCCCCTTCGAGTGAGAAGAATGGTGATTTACTAAAGCTTAGCCATTTTGCTAAAGTTCCTACCAGACCTCGTTCTTCGATGGTAGTTAGAGTTGCAAAGGTTGATCCTGGTCCTATGATTGTGGATGAGAGCCCTAATGAGGGTAAACCTTTTAAAAAAGATACGGATGATTTAAATGTTGATGATCTGTCTGAAGATGGCTCATCAAATCATACATATGATTCAAATGCACTCAACTTGGATAATTTGACAGTGCCAGCTCCTGGAGATAAATTGGGCACATCATATTCTCCAGTCCAAGGAGGCTGCACGGCATCTGTATCTTACCTAGATAGACCTTCAATAAAAGAGCATGAGGAACCTGATTTTGGAGGGATCAACAGAGTGATGATGGAGCGTGGTGAAAAGCGAGCACTAGATGATAGCAACTCCAGTATGGGAAGTAAAAAGCCCAGAGAATTGGCTTCTTTTGAAGATGCTGAATCTGATGGCGGCATAAGCACGTTGGACCCATTGGATAATCAACAGACTTCAGAAGAACCAACGACCTCAGAAGGTCAGGCAGTAACTCTGCCCTCTGATGATAAGAGGTTGTTAGGCATTTCTTTGTATCCTAAAGGTGATATAGGACCAAGCATGGACTATGCAGAAGAGAAGCAGCTATTTCCGGGTTCATTCAAAACTTGCGACCTCAATCTTATGGAAGCTTCTGATGCTAATGAGAATCATGATAATAATCCAGTTCTCATCTTCCCATCTGACACAGAAAAGGGGAAACAAGCTATTCCTGTTGATATTGATTTGTCCATGAGCAACAATCCTAGGGGATCTAATAGATATGGTAAATGCATTGTTGATGGCAAAGACATTGAAGTGATAGATTTAGAAAATGATTCAGCGCAAGAAGACAAGGACTCAAATAATTCTGAGAGAAGGTAAGCTTCTTTCATCTGTATGTTTCCTATTGTTGTACTAAATTTTTTTTAGCTTTTTTCTTGTGACTATTCTTTGATTGGGTTTTTGTGGTTTTGATGTTTGATCAATTTATGCTTTGTGTGTTTTATATGCTTTCTGCATCTGATATTGTTCATATGTTCTAGCTAAATGGAATTACTCTTCTAAGCTTCATTGTTTAATTATACAGAACCGAAAATGTGTACTCTGGCCTGGCTGGATTTTCCAACAATTCTGTCAATGCAAATGATATCCCTGATGTCCAGGATGGTTATGGACTCATGATATCGGAGTTGCTGGGAAATGATATTCCAAATTGTTCCTCTGTACCAGCTGACATGAATTCTCTGCACAATGAAATGGGCCTTCATAATGGAGAGGTATCAGAGTGAACCACTTCAGATATTTGCTTGGATGAGTTAGAGATGATATTATGCATATCATTGGCTCTGAGCATGATGGACACATAAATAAGAACTTTATTTGACTGTCTTCTTTTTTTCCCCCATCTTCAATTCTCTGCATTGATTACCATTGACATTTTGACAAATGGCATGATTGTTGCTGATTGTTTCAGGGGATTCTTGGTGACGATGATTCTATTTATATGTCCCTCGGAGAAATACCAATAAGTATGTTGGAACTTTAGTTTGTTATTCCATTTTAATGAGGCTTGTAGTTGGTTAATCTAGTTTAGATGG